CTGGAGGCGCTGCCCTCCCTCCTTCCCTCCCTCGCCCCTCATCCATCCAGCTAGCCCAGGAAGAGGCGGAGGGGGGGCAGACGCTTCCTGGGGCGGAGAACTCAGCCAGCTCGGGTGAAGGGAACGACCCTGGCCTGGCCAGCCCCGCTTCCCCTCGATCTCCCGAGGCGCCCCTGCCCGGAGGGAGCAGCCCTGCCACGGGCAGCCCCCGCCCGCCTGCCATCCCTGGACTGGTCAGGTCCCGCTGCCGCCGCCGCCTCACCCAGGATGTTCCGGGACGCCCGCCTCCCGGCGGAACAGTGAAAGCATTCTCCCCGCCCGGACATCGGGCTGCCACACGCGAAACCTCCTCGCTCGTCGGCCCTTAAGTAGCCTTCGGCTCCGGCCGCTTCTGATCGCCGCTTTCCGATTGGCCGAGTGGACCCCCCTTCCTGGACCGCCGGGCCAATCGCCGCCCGCCACCCGCCTCGCGAGGCCTTCTGTGCCATCCTTCCGGAGGCCCCCTCAGGCCCCTCTTGGGGCGGCCTGGCCTTCGCCCGCCGAAGCAAAGGATGAAGGGAAGACGAGTTGAGTGGCTCTAGGCGGGAAGTCGGTGCTGATTGGCCGAGAGGCCCGAGGCAGGCTCGCGCCCCAAAGAGAGCTCCGTCTCCCATTGGGCCGCCCACGGCTCGCGGCCCGGCCGCCACGCCCCTCCCCGACCCTGGCGTCCGCGCAGGGGAAGACGGGAAGAGAAAGGCCGCGACGTGAGCGCGCGACTCCGGCCGCCATTTTGTTTGGGACCTACCGAAGGAGGCAACTCCAGAAGCGCGAGCGGCTCAGGCAGGCAGTTGTTAGTTACGCAAAGGCCTTTGACTGTGTGAACCACAACAAACTATGGCAAGTTCTTAAAGAAATGGGAGTACCTGATCACCTTATCTATCCTGAGAAATCTATATGTGGGGGGGGGCCAAGGCCTCGGCTCCCTTTCCGTCGCTGAAGGGCCCAGCGGGGCGGCGAGCCTCCGGGGCTGTTTCCTGGGGGAACCGCTCGCCCGCCTGAGGGGGCCCGGCAGTTCCTGAGACCGCCGCCTTCCTTACTGGTACTGCTCCTCCTACGGGCGCCCTGGAGGCGAGCCTCCCGGGTGGTAAAGAGACGAGGCAGATGGGCCGTTGCTGCCCCGTCCGTCCGTCTGTTTGCCTGTCTTGACAGGGGGCCGCGGAGTGGGTTCCCGAAGGGCCTCCCGGGCCGGGCCGCTCCCTTCACCGCGCACAGACCGGAAGTCGCTCGGCCCTGTTCGGGCTGCCCCGGGAGGGAACGCCAGTCCCGGGAGGAGGAGGCGGCGGCGACGTGGGAGGGGGGTTCCTGCCTTCCTTCCCTTTGGGGCAATGGCGATGGAGGAAGAAGGGGGTCTGGGACCCCCTGAGGGGCCTTGGGAGAGTTGCGGGGAGCGCCTCCTTTCCTAGGGGCCTCGATCGGGGCTGGGTTGAATAGGCTCCGGCGAGGCGGCCAGCTTCGTTCTGGGCCCAGGAGCGGTTACGGGGTGCCTGCCTGGCGGGACGGCTGGTCCGCACGCCCCTGATGAGCCCCCCCCCCTTGACTCTGAAGGTTAGGTTAGCCCTGGGCCTTTGGCAGGACCAGCTGGTCGCTCCTTGGGAAACTTCAGAGGGCAGATCGATCTCTTCATTAGTCAGTCTTGGGCTGATGGCTTGCCTTTTGCATCCTGTAGGTGTATCCGCTTGAACGTTTCATTATGTTGCTGAAGTGGAAGTTTTGAGCGTAGTAAACAACTTAATTCCTTCCGTTTAGCTGGTTCCCGCAGCCAATGTTTTGGTTGGTGATTAACACACTCCATGATAAGCATCTTTATCTTAGTCATAATTACACTGGAGATGTTATTTGGACCTTGAGTCATGGCAACTGGACTTCTTGTTAGGTTGAAATGTTTCAGTCTGAAGAAGCTTTGCTTGGATGAGGAGGAAATGTTTCAACCTAATAAGAAAGAAGTCCAGTTGCCATGACTCAACCTCCAGATACCCACACCTGGAGGACTGAGAATCTTCACAAATACCTTGGAGATGGTTGGTTACTTTGTGTATCCATTAAACATAAATGTTTCTCATAATAGATTGGCAGGTACCTTGGTATTGCTAGACTAGCACACAGTTTTCCCTCTCTTGGCTGCTGTCCTGAAAATCCTAGTTTGTTTACCTTGTCCGAAGATCACTTGCTTCTCTTCCTCCACCTCTGTATCATATTTGGTTACTTTGTCTTGTTTGATTGTTTTTACACTGTTGCTCTTTGTGATTGTAGCCTCTGCTAATTCTTATTCTATTTGTTTACTTCTTCTATTGTTTTCATATGCAGAAGCTTTTTTCTGTTTTTCTTTTCTGTTGGTGGTCATCAGAGCCATGTTGTTATTTCTGCTCTTTCTGTGTTCACCTGGAATAGCTTCATTGTATCTATATTTTTCAGTACTGTCTATAAGCTGATTGATACCCAAGTTACATCTTTTTAACTTTTGTCCTTTTCCCCTCCTTTCCAATCCTGACTCAGGGTGCCTCTGATTTTTTTCTGCTTGGATGGTTAATTAAGTCCGGTATGTTCAAGATGACAGTTCCTGCCTTTCCTCCCAGATCATGGTCTCATCCCACCTTTGGTCCACTGTCAGATCTCACCAGTTAGAAGTTTTAATTTTCGCTTCACCTCTTACTTGTCTCTGGCCCATTCATTCTATCACCAGATCAATGTTACTTCTTTGTCTAGTTTTAGAAGAGATAGTTGTGTTCGTCTGTGTTAGCATATCAGGCCAAAACAAAAGAGAAAAAATTAAAAGACAAAAATGTGGTGTCTTGGAAACTAACTGCCGTCCGTTAGTGTGAACGTATATGATCAAGTCCACTTCCTCAGATTTATACCTTCTTTGTGTACACTTCCTTGTCTAGCTGCAGTGTCAAAAGTACCAACCTCCCCACCACCACCCCAGTCTCTGGTCCTTGCCCTCACTTTCTTGTCTAGATCACTGGTTCTTAACCTTGGGTAACTCAGGAGTTTTGGACTGCAACTCCCAGAAGCCTTCACCACCAGCTGTCCTGACTAGGGTTTCTGGGAGTTGCAGTTCAAAAGCATCTGAGTAACACAGGTTAAGAACCACTGGTCTAGATGACCCTAGTTTTCTGCAGTTTGGGGGAAATCAGGAGAGAGTCTCGTATGAGGAAGGTCTTATTTTTCAGTGTTGTCCATTATTGTCTTCTCTAGCTGTTGGCATCTTTCTGTGGCCTCAGAGAAGCTAATATTTTCAGCATCACCCCCAGGGTTCGATAGGATATAGCAGGAGTTGGACCTGATTGCAAAGCATATGCTTTATCATTTTGCACATCTTCTCTTACTCAAAGTCTTCTCATATGTATGTAGCATTCAGCTGCCAGCATTATGTACTGCTCTCTTTGCTCTGGTCACACTGTTCCTTCTTTCAAACCTCTACAGGCTTCTTTGCCTCTCCTGAGTCACAGAGAAGCTCTTGTGTGCTTACCTTCAGCTCATTCCATGGATTTGCCTCTTGTATCTCTCCATGATTATAGCTCTCTGACTCTTTCCAAACCCCTCTTACTTCCTGAAACAATTGCCATCTTTTTCGGTTGTTGCATTTCCTCTCTGAAATGATAAGGATCATTATAGGGACTAAATAGCTAACAATTGCTTTGTTTCTCAGTGAGGAAAGCTTAAGTGCCTTTGTGTCCAAAAAGGCTTTTAGAAATATTCTTGTTTAAATAGCAGGCTGTTGTTGCTTGTACTTCTTTGCAACATGTATGTTGCCTTTTATCCAGTGGGCTTAAGGGGGCTTACAAAGTTATCCTTCCATCTTCCTTTGCACAACAACCTTCATGAGTGAGTGTGAGCAACCCAGGGTAATCCAGTGGGTTTTATGACTATGTGGAGATCTGAACTCAGGTTTGCTAAGTCCTAATCCAACACTAGCTGTTGGAGAATGAATTAATGTTGCATGATAGATTGAAAAGTATTTTCCTCCCGACCATTCATAACACAACAAGAAGAGAGCTCCTGGAATCATTTCTTGGAAATGGTGCCATAGTTCATGTGACACATGAAGGCATCTAGGAATACCAGTTCTTGGGGGTGTGGTGTTTGAGTAGTACATCTGCAGTGATTAAGAGAGAAAATTGATCAAGAGCATCAAGACTTTCAGAATGTTGTTGACCCATATTCTCCTTTGAGTAGAATAGAAGTGTGAACATTCCCAAATATTCAAACAAGAGTTGAAAACAGTTAGGGTTAATGATTGCAAATCAAGGAAAGAAAAAAGATTGCTTCCCCCTATTGTAATTACATCCAGCCAAAAGTAATTTATTTTGCCCTGAGGTCCATTTGCTTCAGATAGGACTTGGAGCGTAGGGTCCTTCAGTTATACATGAGCGGTTATCAACAAAGATGATCTATTATAATGCAACTGTATACAGCTTTAACTTTTGAGGAGGTGTGAATGCTGCTCTCTCTTGTCTTGCAGGTGCCATGGTTCAGAACAGATTGAGAGTGTTGGGAAAGAAGAGCTGAAGATCTAGCATCCGTCAAGATACAGGCTCACTGGAAAAAAATTAACCTGCCTCTGAGGTGACTAAAGGGGAATAATGGTGATTTTGCGCCGGGCTCGGCCGCCTGCTTCCGCCCCAACCAGCAATGAATCTTGACTCGCTCTCGCTGGCCTTGTCTCAAATCAGCTATCTAGTGGACAATTTAACCAAGAAAAACTACCGAGCCAGCCAGCAGGAAATACAGCACGTAAGTAGAGAATACACAAACATTTATTCTCATATAAAATGATGGGAAGCAAAAATTGAATGAACAGCTCATTTTGCGTCCTTGAAGTATCTGCTTCTGACTGATGGAGGTGGTTCCAAAAAGGATAGCTGCTAAGATAGGACAATTGCTTTGTATGGCAAGTGCAGAGGGTTACAGTATGTGGAAACCTGAGATAGCTAACACTTGTTATTGTTTAAGGTCTCCTAGGATTCTGGGGGTTTTTTTCCCAGTGAGACAGACTTAACACAGCCTCCTCTGTAATTGATGTCATTCTTGTAACTCCGCTGTCTTTTTCATAGGTTGAATGCCAAAGGTTTAGTTTTCAGAAGTCTTAATTCATGTTTTTGAGACAGTCACCTTTAGGATGCTTATACAATAGACATAGCATATTTTGAAATTCTTTTCCTCACTACTCTCAGTGATGTCAAAGCAATGAAGATTGTCACCTGACTTTTTTTCTTGACTGTTCTATAGTTCTTTGGAGGTGGGGATAGGGAGTGGATAGCTCAGCTAGTGACTTAAAATGGCCTTTTGGTGGCGGAGGTAGTAACAGAGGCCATATTTGTTCTCACCTTTTTTTGTTACAGGCTTTGTAGTTTTTGAGCATTCTGTCATATAGGTTCTGTGTCTGTTGAGAATAACATTTTGAGCTTTGTGTAACCGGGTGCCTTTGGGTGAATGGTTTGGCATGTGTAGAAGAGACACGGCTTCTGTTTTCTCCCTCAGTTCCTTTCTGCCCGCCTTTTCCCCCCGCCCCATGTTGGGAGGAATTTGCATGAATGAAGTGCACCCTTTTTCTTTTTGCTTTTATTTTTCAGCCCTTTGTTTCAGATATCTTCGGCATGTTTTTGTTGTTGTTTTCCACTGATAGGTACCCTCAGTGATCTTGTGTGAAAGTGTGGTTGAGAACTCACTTTCTTGGAACAGTTCTGCCGATCTAGCAACCTGCGTGGTGCTTAGCTTGCACATCCATCAGAAAAATATTCACAGCTTATAGGAAAATGCAATGTTAGTCTTTCATTAAGAGGTTTGATGGGGCTGAGACGTTCTCCTTTACACCTTTCTGTGGAGCTGAAGATGAAGTGGCTTACATTCCAGAGATCTGCTTCAGCCTGAATCATTTAAGCTGTTTTCAGACCATGCATAACCTTGTAGAAAAAGGTAGTCTGTTTCGGAGGAGTAGCAGCCTGCCAACTGTGCAGATGGGCTGAAGCAAGGATTTGTAATCTGCAAGTAACTTTTCATTTCTGTAAAAGTTGGTCTTACATAGGAAATAATATTTACTCCTCAGCTATTCAGTACATACGTTTTCTGATACCAAACCCCAGTTGCGGAAATAATATATAGCCCATTTATTTTCGTGTTGAACATGCTTGGTTGCAAAAGTGACAGGACAATTGTTCTGAAAGAAGGGAGATTGTTTAGTCATTTTTTGTTTGAAAGAAAGAAACCAGAGAAGATGCTTCAGGAGCCTAGTAGACGTTCCATCCTCCAGAAGCCCCTGCAGCCATTTAGTTCAGGAAGAGTTGGCTGGTTAGTGGACAACAAGAGAGAGAGGAAGGTTGTGCAAAGAATGAAAGAGAGTGGGAAATGAGCAAAAAGATATATAAGTTTTAAATGATGATTCTTCAAATGCCTTTTCATTTGGTGACAGCAGTTCACCACCGGGGCAGTACAGTTCTCCCGTGCCTTCTCCCTTTCTGCACAGCACGCTTGTGAAGGAGCCACAGCGGGTTGTTTTGATAAAAGAAATCCAGTCCACGGAGTGCTTTTCAGCGAGGGTATCTTTTCTCCTTAGGCTGGTGTCCGGACTTGCAGGCACAAAGGAAGTGTTGTAAAATTCCTGTTCTTTCTGAACAGGAAGAGTTCCCCTCCTCTGGTTGTCTGGCAAAGCTGGTTGACTTACAGGCAGATCAGAGTTGAGTCCCTTTCAAAGAATCATGTGAGAAAGTGCTGAAGCCCTCGGAAGGCTTGCAGAGTCCCTGATTTGTGGGAGAGAAAAAAACTGCTCCCAGGGTGACATTCACTGAGGCAGGAGAAAGAGGAGGCCCCACTCCTGTCCAGACTTCCTAAGGTTCTTGTTAAACCTGTTGTACTGGAATGTCTGCAGTTTTCAAATGCATGGCAGACCTTATATCATATTGCCAGACTGCAAACTTCACTTGCCTTCTTTTTAAGGTTGTTTGGATTACTGAGAAAAAAAAATTGTTAGGCCCAAAAAGAGAAACTGACATCATCCTGCATTTGCCACAGGGATGCATTTCAGAACAGATGAACTGAAATTGTATTGGAATGAAATGATACCATTTCTGCCGAAGGTGCTTAAAAACGCCGTGGTTCTTTTCCTCTCTTCAACTGTGTCAGGACTGGTGCTGGAAATCAGGGAATCCTCCTTTGTCAGCAAGTGGCGAGTTCCTTCTGTGTGGCTGCTCACAACATTGCATGTGTTCTTGGCCCCTGAAGCCTCAGGTGATATGTTGCCATCTGTTCACGGTGGTCCTCTCTTGGCAGCAGGCGAAGCAGAAAGCTATCCTGTGGTCTTTCTGACCAGAGAATTAACAGAGTGGAGAGAAACTTCTTAGTGGTTGTGACGGACGCCAAGGTGCATGGAAGAAATGGGAAGGGAACAGTTTGTTTGGTGACAGTGCCTTGACTCCCACTGACAGACCACTTATTAGACCCTTGGGAAAAGAGTGGAGTGGAGTGGACCTATGGGGTGAACCCCGAGAGGCGCTTGCTTGGTGTGGAGGCTTTTCATAAGCAACATTTTCCGTTCTTGCCTTTTTGTGGTCATGCCACTAGATAAGCAGAAGCAACAAGAAGTCTTTGGGCTTTGCTTGTGGATATTTTAGAGACTTATTAGGAGGATATTATCAGTAGATAGTGGCTGAAGTTTCTAAGCATAGATACCTTAGGCAGTAACGACAGACAGTCCTAAACAAAGTCAAAGTCCTTGGTTTTCACTTTGGAGATTTGTGTTTTAGTTTTTCCTTTATCTGATCTATGGATAGGTGGGCTTTTAAAAGCTCTTTCTTGGTATTACAGTTGTACTGGAGAAGTTCTCTTTGTCTTATTTTCACTTAGATTGTGAATCGGCACGGCCCCGAGGCAGACAGGCATTTACTACGCTGTCTATTCTCACATGTGGATTTTAGTGGCGATGGTAAAAGCAGCGGCAAAGATTTCCATCAGGTAACTTCTGTACTTGAAGAACCTCTGCTTTGTTTCTTCATGTTTATATGTTTTCGAGACACACACACACTCATACCAGTTAATTCACACCAGTGTTCTTTTATTGCTTTACAAAGCCATTGTGAAATATCATCCAAGAGAGTTCTGAAAGGCCCCATCCGATAGGGGTGGGGAATCGGTGGCTTTAAAACAATCTGTGTACACTATTGTTTAAAAACTGCAAAACAGGAGAGCGTTTGAGTAGTGAGCAGTTACAGAGTCCAAAGGCCTTCCTTAAAGTGTGTGTTTGCCTACCTGTAGAAACCCAAAGGAGTCAGCAAATAATCACCTGCCGGAAGAGCTTTCAGTAAGAGCTTCTGTGGAGGGAGGAGGCCTGGTGCTTAGTTGTTTTTGTCTGGGCTTCGGAACAAAACACAGACAAGTCCTCCTCTGAAGTTCTAGGAACATGGCAGCTGAAAGGCCGGAAAGGGTTCAGTCTAGGATGCAGCATGCCCTCACCCACCCCCGTAGATAAGCTTTTAGAACAGGGCAGCCTGTTGCAGTCAAAATAAAAATAAATCTCACACTGTTTCACCTTTGAGTTGATGCAACTATTAAAGCTTTCTAAACTGTCTTTGGAGAGTTATATCAATCTTGAGTTTCTTGCACAGATATTCCTGAAGGATGCTGTTTCTAAAGCCTTACATATCTGAAATCAGTTTTCCTCGATATTTTAACTTTTGAATAGCTTGAGAATGGAATATGTTGTACTTTTTAAAAAGGTGTATCAAACATTACGCTCTGTTCTATTTTTCAATAAAATAATTGGTTTCAGGTTCCAGTTTATTGATTATTCTACCCATAGCAGTAGTATCTGTCGTGAGCATATCCCTTAGAGACCAAAATTTTGTGTGCATAGTTCTTTTGTTTATAAGATGAACAAAGCCCATTTTGTCAGCCCTTCAGTCTGCAGTATGATATACAGTGGTGCTTCGCTTGACGACGGTAATTCATTCCAGTGAAATTGTCGTCAAGCGAAATTTAGAAACCCATTGAAACACACTGAAAACTGTTCAATGCGTTCCAATGGGCGAAATACCTGCTTGTCCAGCGAAGATCTTCCATACAGCGGCCATTTTCTGGTGCCTGTAATGCAAGGAGTCCGTCCCTAACACAGTGGGGAGCCATTTTCTACAGCTGGCAGCCATTTTGAAACCCGACGAACAGCTGTTTGCTGATCGTTGTAAAGTGAAAAATTGGTTCCGGAAGCAGGGAACCTATCAACGTTAAGTGAAATTCCCCCATCTAAACATAGTTTTGCGATTGCAAAAGCGATCGCAAAAACTTCAACATTATGTGGATTCGTCATCAAGCGGGGTAATTGTCCAGCGGGGCACCACTGTAAAAATATTTGGCAACTATGTCACGCTGAGAAGTTAACTTGAATTAATCTGGTGGATATACATGTAATGTTTCCAGAAAAAAAGCAGTGAATATAACTATGTTGTGTACTGTAAAAGCAATCACTTTGCTACTTCAGTGTCTTTTCTTTTCAGACTCAATTTCTGATCCAGGAGTGTGCATCATTGATTACGAAGCCAAATTTTATTTCAACGTTGTCCTATGCTATTGAAAATCCATTGCACTATCAGAAGGTTTGTATTCACTTTGTGAAGAGCTGTTATCCAGTGAAAGCAGTAAGAGAAGTCTCTCTTGAGCTATTGTGCCAGAATACACAGCTGTGTGCATTACTGCAACTTGGAATTTCGATGCTAGCGGCTTGTATAATCTGGACGCAGCATCAGTGAGGAATGTACAAATGTCTGAAAGTGTACATCTGATAAGGTTGTTGGCGATCTTTCCCCTCCCCTTTTATCAAGTTGTATTCAGGCTGCCCAGTATGGACTGTGAACATAACCTTCTTTTTTCTTCTTTCAGAGTCTTAAGCCGTCACCCCACCTTTTTACTCAACTGAGCAAAGTTATCAAATTAAGCAAAGTTCAAGAGGTGAGTTGTATAAAAACCTTATGCAGGTGATGCTGTCGTCTTGTTAGAATATGAGGAAGTCTGAGGGCCGCTAATGCCCGAGGCATTTTTCACAAATAAGATGCGATGGTAGTCACTATGTGCTCCTTTGTGTCGGTCAGAATACTTCTGCTTCTGAGTAACAGCAGTGGCAGGCAGTTTCCCTCCAACTCGTGATCCCTCTGAGGATCAGCCTTGGTGGTTGCTGGGTGAGGTGAAAAAAGTTGAGGGAAGGGCAGCCCGGTTCACCCCCTTGAGTTTTCCTTTGGGCAGTCTCGTTGCCAGCCCCTGAGTCAATGACTGAATACACAGATATACTCTTAACTCTCGTCGGTTTGTTCCTAGGTTATTTTTGGCCTTGCTTTGTTGAACTCTTTCAACCCAGACCTAAGAGGTTTTGGTAAGTGACATTTATATCATATACACATATCAATTTCTTTGGGGTTTAGGAGATGGAAGTTGCTTTCTGAGTTGTAGCCTAACGTTGCCATCATTTTCACCAGTCCCTTGAACCTGTTGCTTCAGTTTTAGAATTCAGGGGCTGGGTGGTACCAGAACATAAGCTCCAGTTTCCTGATTTCAAGGATCTTTGCAGTAGTCCATGCTGAGTCTGCTTGAAGGAACCCTTCCCCGCCCCCCGCCCAAGCTTAGGAATCTTCCCTGATTGAAGGGAGTGACCTGACCACACAACCTATCTCTTTCTAATCTATCCTGGATTCATTGAGTAAATGGAACTGTGAGTAAGCATCTCCGAGCTAGCAGAATTACCATCTCCATGTGATGCAGCTGGATTGATGATCAAAGTTACAGGGATATGCTTTTTTCTAAATGAAAAGAACTATGCAAGTCTATTAACCTCTGCCTCTCTCTTTTTTGAAGCGGCTCAGTTTATTAAACAGAAACTTCCCGATCTTCTGCGTTCATATATTGACGCAGACGTCAGTGGAAATCAAGAAGGTGGCTTCCAAGACATTGCCATAGAGGTGCTGCACCTTCTCCTCTCCCACCTTCTTTTTGGGCAGAAAGGAGCCTTCGGGGTTGGACAGGAACAAATTGACGCTTTTCTCAAAACATTACGTAGAGGTAAATACATAATGTGTTTGATGCCTTGACTTGGAACTTAACTACCAAAACAAACCAACCCCATATTTGTATGGAATTTATGTATTGGTAGTCATTTAGAACAACAACAAAATAAGTAGTGAGGCTCTTCAGACAAAATGCTGAACACAGATCTACCTTTGAGAAACAGTGCTGAAGTGTGGCCGTGTTTTTATTGTGATCGTTGATGCATCTCGATGCAAATCCTTTTCTACACACTTTTCTGTGCATGTGGAAGCACACAAAGTGTGTCGTAGGCTGTGCAGGCTGCTCTGACCCAGGTGAGTGAGCTGCAGGTCTCTACAGGTGTAGCCGGGAACTCCCAGAATTCCAGCTGGAATATTCTAGGAGTCTTCCAGGAGTGGGAGTCAAATAATCTGAATGGCACATTCCTACTTGCAGTCCATGTAGCACTACAAGGACTACCCAGCCAAAAACTGAGATACAACATCACTTCCTTTAGGATTTCTGTCTTTCCTTGGTTACCATAATTCTGTATCGATGTTCTGTTTCTCTGTGTGTTTGGTCATGTTGAGATGCTAAAGTGTTGTGGGCTCTTAGATTTTCCCCAGGAACGTTGCCCCGTGGTGCTTGCACCACTCCTATACCCTGAAAAACGGGACATTCTAATGGACAGGATCCTGCCTGATTCTGGAGGGATAGCAAAAACAATGATGGAGAGTTCTCTGGCAGACTTCATGCAGGAAGTTGGCTATGGCTTTTGTACAAGGTATGTTCGTAATTTCCATGAGGCCGGCACTAGATACAAGCTATGAAGGGGACTTCTAGTGATGTGGGATTCCTTCTCTTTTGGGGGGCGGGTGTATGTATGTATGTGGTGGTGGGTTTTTTGGTGGTCTGTATGGGCTCCAGCAGGTTCTGGGATGAAAAGAACTGATCCTGAACCTGTCTTACGTTTCCCAACTCTGTTCTAGATCTTTTCTACTCTGCGCCAGAGGCTTCTGTATAGATGCCTCGCCATTTATATGCTGAGAGGTTTTCCTGGGGATCATGGGAGACTTGGGAGCACAGAGGGGCAGCCAGGCAGGCCTGTGGCCCATGGGTGGAGCTGTGGCTCCAATTTTAAGTCTCTGCACTGTTTGATCTTGGACTTTGACTTTTAAGTTTGATCTTATGTGATGCTGCAGTTGTTTGTTTTCGTGGTTTTTAAAAGCTGACTTTTCTTATTATTTGTTTGAGTTTTATGTACCAATAAAGTCTTCCTAAAAAGTATCACTATTCTGTGGTTTTAAGAGTGTAGTAAATCAAATCAATGCCTCTCTTCCCTTTAGTGTGGAAGAATGTCGCAGTATCATCACACAGTTTGGGGTTGGAGAGGTCACAGCTGCACAGGTTGCCAGGGTTTTGGGAATGATGGCTCGTACACACTCAGGATTGGCTGATGGAATTCCTTTACAGGTCAGTTTCCTACATGGCCAGTTGTGCTGTACTAAGTCATTTGCATTTAACTGATGAGAGTGCTGGAGTGTTTTCACAGAGATTTGGGGTCAACATTTCTATGGCACTGAGCAAAATGAGTCAATGAAGCCCTGGGGGACTTCTTTGGTGTTTGGTCTCCTGTGGTCCCTGTCCTGCCTTCCTCTGTCCAGCAGCCTGTCCCCTTTTCTTTCATGTGACATGTTCAGCGGAGTGGAGGCTCAGGAGCTTTCAATCAGCTGGCCTTTTGTTTTCACCACATTCTTAGCTCCGTCACTAGATGGACAGGAATACAAATGTAGTAAACAGACTTGGCAAGTAGGTGACAGGGCAGAGTGGACCACAGATTGGTTGCTTTATAGTATTAATAAATGCATGAGGATTGTAAAATATTAGTATCTTCAGTCAACTTCTTTTTCCCCCACACATACACACACACACACACACATCTTTGAATCTACACCATGTAGGTCACTGGAGAGGTTCTAAATTTATATGTACATCTTTAATTTGTAGTCCATCTCTGCTCCCGGAAGTGGAATTTGGAGTGATGGAAGAGATAAAAATGATGGAACGCAAACCCATACATGGAATGTGGAAGTTTTAATTGATGTGCTTAAGGAACTGGTATGTTAATCCTAATATGACATGTTGGAAAAATGTCCCAACCATGACATTTCATGTCTGATGATTTGCTTAAGTGACTTTGATTTTTGTGTCATGATTGAAAAATGCCATATTCACATGCTGTTGGTGGTAGACTCTGGAGTGTGTGCTTTTAGAATACGTTAACCAGCCTTTTGGAAATGCCAGTTTAAACAAATACACCAAACAAGACTGAGTTTTGACCATTTTAAAAAAGGTGACAGAGCTTCCAAGTTCTTCTGAATTGAATCATATTCTGATACAATGCAGGTATTCTTCAGAGGCTTTTTAAGGTGCTGTCATCTAAAAATGGTTTTGTAAAGTGTTCTCTTTATTGACAGTATAGTTAACACACTTACTGAAGGAAGTGGTCTCCTCAGTGTCCCTAATTAGCAGACTGCTCTTGATAATGGGCATGTCAGATCTATAGAGAGCCGCTTTTTTCAGAACATCAATTTGGGTTGGAAACACTAGTAGCTTTTGAGTTGTTAGCACCGAGGCATCAATGTGGTTTACAGAATAGTTCACAGAAGGCCTGTTACAAATGGTTGGCTGAACCCTGCTAGGGTTTCATTTGCCATGCCGCTGCCCGCCTGCACCCCCTCCCCAATCCAGATTGAGGAAGTCTGTCAACTAATCAGCAACTTTGGATGACTTGGTCACCCAGGAGCTTTTGGGGAGGCAAAGTGCCCTTGACGTGTAGAATATATAGGGCAGCTAGTTCAGATACTTTTCCAGACACAATGAAGATTGGATTTGTTACAGCTTTATAAGCTTTAGCTTGAAGAAGACGTGATTTGCTTACTGTGAATATGGGGAGGGTATTAAAGATATTGCTTAGAATGAAGTGGGGTTTGTGGGGGGCAGTGGAGATGCTAGGTAAGCTCTAGTTACATCAGCTGTAATGCCACTCCTTGACATGGATTGCTCAAGGGCTTGACATGTCAGACATGTAGCCACGTTTCGTGGTTTGGCTGCCATAACCCTTACCACCACTCTAACCCGTACAAACCTTCCCGTAGTGTACTTCATGTTTGGTGCCCTGGTGAAGGCAGCCAGGCATGCTGCATTAAATGGGCATTTATCTTTTTGCAGAACCCAACTTTGAACTTCAAGGAAGTTACGTATGAACTAGACCATCCTGGATTTCAAATTCGTGATAGCAAGGGCTTGCAGATCGTGGTGTATGGTGTCCAGAGAGGGTTGGGATTGGAAGTATTTCCTGTTGACCTCATATATAGACCTTGGAAACATGCAGAAGGCCAGGTAAATAATAGGTGGCTGCTTTTCCTTGACTTAAATACCATTGGCGGGTGTGTGTGGAAGTGAATCGCTGCTTTCCTAGTTGCTGAAGCTTTGCCCTCTAAGGAAAAGGTGTTCGTTTAGGCGTTTGTTAAGCTTTGGAGTCGTTGGTTATTAAGGTATTCTGTATTCTTGAGATCTGCAGGTCCATGATAACAAAGTCTTTAAATAACTGCTGTTTTGAGGTAGTTATCACGATGTAGAATAACTGAGATACAATTAGCTCCAGATCTGGAGGCAAATGTTAAGCTTACCATGATCACCATATGTAGATGATAAAGCTTTAGAAGATGAACACATGCAAGTCTTTGAAGTCAAGAGATTTTTCTCCCTGTTCCATGTGTGGGCTGCACCCTAGGTCTCCCTGGGAGGAGGGATCATATTTTAGTTGTTTTCATACATCCTGGGACTTCTAATTATGCCCATCCCATCTTTTCCCCGCCTTCTGCACAAGACAGACTTTAGCTCCTAAAGCTTTATTTCTCCTTTCCTCACAGCCTTTCTACTCACACAGCATAGCTCACTCCAGGAGGGCTGCATCCATGCTGGCCACCAGCACTCTACTGCCTCTCCTCTCATTGGGGGGCCGTACAGAACAGCCTTAACATTTTTATTAACCACTGTAAACTGGACACTTCCGCCTGAGCTGTACCTCTCAGCCAGCAGGGTATACAATGTCTGTCTTGGCTGGCAGCCGCCTCACTCCCTGTCGGGGACCGCTGAGATACATCTCATGCTTGGAGTCTCGTTCACACCAGACAGAAGACGTGGTGGGAGGTCTACTTACTAGGGAGGCTCATTCTTCTCTCAGCCAGCAGCCTCCATCCCGACCTCTTTTTTGGTGTTGGAATGGTTTAGGTGAAAAAGATAAAGACCTGAAATGACTCTTGAATCATATTTTCACAGCTCTCATTTATCCAGTACTCCCTCATCAACCCTGAGGTCTTCTGTTTTGCTGACTACCCCTGTCATAGTGTTGCCACAGATATTTTGAAAGCACCCCCTGAGGATGACAATCGAGAAATTGCCACATGGTAAGCAGCATTCCTTGTTCGTGGGAGTACAACTGCTTCTGCCCTCTGCAGTGACCAGGACACGTTATCCTTCATCATCTTGTGGCAGCCTTTTGGCAGGAGAATTTGAGCCACCAGGCACATCTGGAATAGCAGAGGGAGTCCCTTTGGGATCCAAATGCATTTGCTCATCTGTCAATCATTGTGTACCTAAGGAGAACAAGACGTGGGATTTCTTTCCCCTCCCCCACTGCAGCTACTAGAACTAGAATTCAGCAGAGGTGCCTTCAGCTAGAATTATGATTCCTTTTCCCACCCACCACCCACCCCAAATTCTCTGAGTTTCAGGATCCTCAGCTGTTGCTTACCAAGGCTCTTTCTGCAGACGGCCGTGATTGCAGAAGGACCTGGGGTGGAGCTTTCT